GAAAAGTTTTGTTACTTTTTTTAAAAAAAAATTCCTATCAATTTTTTTTAAAAAACGCTCTCTTAAAAATCAACAGAGGATACAAAAAAATTTAAACTTCATAGATGAATAAGAATTACGGGGGTAAGCGTGCAGATCCTCCTAGTTCATCTAATAAATCATCAATAAAATTATGATTTCACTTTGTCTACTACTACGAATGCAACAAAAAGCTTTGTTACTTTTTTTTTTAAAAATGTCATATTTTCTTAAAGAAAAAAGCTCTCTTTAAAATCAACAGAAGCTACAAAAAATTGTCGTATTACTTATCCATCTTTTAGGAAAGGTTACTTACAAATGGCAGCCTTTAACATTACGAGAATGCGGATTTTACTGCGTGAAGAAATCCTCTTGAAATATGCTTAAAACATAGTCTTCACGTGTCGGACATACGCGTACCAGCCATAATCTTTTATATTATATTGAAAAAAAGGTTAACTGTAAACAAATCTTCGTCCAGAAGAGAATAAAAATGCACCTTATCGAAAAATGGTATGCTTGCGCAAATCTCTAGTCAAGCAACGTGAACAGAACTGAATATAATCTGGAAGCAATTGCACTCCTACATGTTTTGAATAATGCATTAAAAGCATGCCCTTTAAATTATAAGTGTGGACAAAAGTTGTCACCTAAAGTTCGAACATATTCTCAACGAGGTGCGACACGAATGCCCAAACAGTCGATATGTTTTTCTTGAGAATACGTGATATATTTGACAATTGAGATTAAGGCTTAACGTAAAGGTTGAAGTTATTTTAAAGAATGCGATGCGACATAAGTAAGTTATTAAATAGGAAGAAAACTTTCACTTTCTTAAGTCTATGAACTCCGAGAATATTGAAAGCAAATTTTTACATTTATTTTGTTTTCAATTCAATTTTGCGTTCTATTGTGTTTGTTTTGAATTCAAATTTATTTTGTGTTTGCGTGTAAAATAAAAATTATTAACTGTAGGAAAAATATACTTAAATAATGAGTCTCCCATTTGTTTTGCTAGTTTCCTGTGTAATTTTTTTTTATTATATGTAATGGAGAACTTTGGGCAATATAATGATTAAGAAGCACATTTTGTCAAACCTGATACTATTTTTATTTAAAACTGTTCCTTATCAGATACTTTACAGGTTTCTGTATTAATCGCTAAATAACAGCAGAACGCCTAAAAGCATCTTATTGCCGACATGAAAATGCTACATCTGATACATCAGCCTAACAACTCATTTGTCCGACAAAAAAAAATCATGAAATTCCTAAATGACTGACAACTTATATTTGAGCATCAGCTTATTAAAAATACTAATAAAAGCATAAATAATATATTAACGATAAAAAAAAATTTATTAGCAGTAGCGAGTGATTTTTATGAAAATAATAACAAAAGCTATAAAGCTCTGTTAAAAATATTTATGGAAATGAGCTTTCTTCCTATAATTGACCAAATTTTGGAAAATCTCTAATCTTTTAAGAAACATAAGGGAAAATTAACTACCCGCATAAATAGTCATTAAATCTCCTTCCCACCAAGGCCTATGATTTCTACATTGACAGTATATTATTCTCATAGAGGTGGTATAGATAGGCTCTTTATACCACCTCTCTGATTTTTTTCCCTGTTGACGACAGGGTAAAATGTGCATATTCTTACATTTATTTCTCTTCTATTAAATGTTCTGTTTGGAGAATTTATCTTTCGAGCAAATGTGCCTGTCAAGTAAATGAGCTTTCGGAAAAAAGAGGCAGTCATTTGAATTTTTCGACAAATGAGTGTTCCCGGAATATTTGTTCAGAACGATTAGTAAATTGTCTTGATTACATAGTCCCAACGCCCTTCACGAATATAATTTCTGAATTACATTTTATCAGTTTCGTAATTGACTTCCCCAACTTGAGGATATAGCAATATATTTTATTCATGAAGAAGCTCCAGTCCACCTCCCTCATTAGCGTTTTTTTACCCCCATCCCTTAGGTTTTGGAGGAAGTCATAACTGTATTCCTGGCCCTAAATTACATAAACAAATTTGCTATGATCGTGACAGCCTTTATCAAAGCTAATTGCAATAATCGAAATAATTAAAGGAAGATGATCTGCAACATTTTAAAGCGATCGGCTTATTAACTGTAAATTCAATTTTCTGTCGTACAAAGGAAGATATGAGTTCTTTATATTTTAAAACTGTGACGAAATTGCTGCAGAAAATTGATTAACAAAGAAACCATTATTATAAAGCAGGCAAATAACACTAAAAGCAGCATGACATATGCTAAATTTATTGCAAAAAAACACTTTTCACTATTACTTTTGTTGTTTTAAGGTAAACAGGTGTTCCATAATAACCGCTCTTAATATGTACCTTAAATTCTCGTCAAAAACCTAGATGTAAAACTGTACATATTAAGAGACATAAATAAACCAGGAAAAAATCTATTGAAATATGACGAATATCTACGAAGGAAGACGGGATAGAAAAGATCAAAGCGCGTTTCAGTTCCGAAGGATTACCAAAAAAAAAAAAAAAAAAAAAAAAAAAAAAANAAAAAAAGCACTAGTAAATCAAACTGGTTTTAGTGTTTTTCATCCCGCTTTCTTTAACTGGTAATTCCACATAGAGAATTTTTTTCGCCCTCCCTTAAATATTAATTTGTGACTCCTAATTTGGACAGCTTTTGACTTCATTTTAACTAAGATTTTAATATTACACACTAAGAGTGATGATTACGGAACACCCTACATACGAGTCAGTCGCAAACGTTTCATGTAGGTCATTGCAAAATTTAAAGTACGGATATAACGAAATCCTATTTACAACTTTCGAACTAAGTGACAAAATACCTAATAAACCTGTAAATATGTTAACGTATATCCAGCTCGCATTTTATTCAAAAGCAATTTACATAGAGTTTTCAACAAAGTTTTTTTCTTTTTTTAGCACATATAGTGAAAAATACGCAAATTTTGACATAATACCCAATTTTCATTGTGTTGAAAAAGCAATAAAGGACAAAAAAAACTAATTTCTTAACCACAATAACTTTTAAATGAACAACTTGCATTGTAAGTTCAACCCTTAATATTTAACATAAGGCACGTAGGCTTTATTGGAAAAAGCCATTCTATCTTAAGACATTCTTTCTGAAATATGCAGATTCTTTTTTTACTTTTTCTAACCAATACCATTTATTTGAATAAAGTAAAACTAAATGTTTTGATTTAAATATTCAACAGTTAAGTTTTGGGAACTTGTTTAAAAAAATACTTCTTTCCTTCAAGTGAAAAAGAAAATACCCATTATTCCTTAACATCTTTCAACCATTTCCTTTCGAGTTTTTAAGAAAATGGCAAAGAAACATAATGGAAGGTAAATAGTATTGGAATAGAAGATAAAGAAATCAAGAAACAGTTGGGATTAAATCTCGAACGGCTTGAGTGCATTTTTTGCTGTTTATGTTTCTTGCGAATGTGTTTTTCTTATTGATCGCTCTTTTCTAAAGGGCATAAAAGCACTTTGAAAAGTGGGACATTTATAGTAAACTTAAACGAAAATGTCTGAAATATTTAAATCGTAATGCTCAGTAGCTGAAAACAGAGATAAAATTTTAAAAGTTACTTATATTCGTTTGTTAATTTTTTAAGAAAGTTGCTAATTTTATTTATGTCTGGAAAATTCCTGTTCTAAATACTACAATTATTCAAAGCAAATAAAATTTTACACAACTAGCATGCATTAATTAACGTCCAACTCAATTGCAAAGTATCGTTGAGCGTGCTTTTTACATTTGGGTGACAGGTGCTATGAAATGATTAGGAATGTATTCTGGGCAGTTATTCCTAAAATGGTTTATTTTTATCCGAATAATATCGTATCCTCTGAAATTCAACTGTTTTAAGTAATGTTTTTGAAGAAAAAAAACGGAATTTTTAATTTTTATTTTTCAAGAATTTTTAATATTTTAGTTTTTACATGACATAATTTAGTATTTTAATATTTTAATATTTTAATATTTTAGTTTTGAGTGACAGGTGCTATGAAATGATCAGGAATTAGGGCAGTTATTCCTAAAATGGTTTATTTTTGTCCGAATAATATCGTATCCTCTGAAAGTCAACTGTTTCAAATAATGTTTTTGAAGAAAAAAAACGGAATTTTTAGTTTTTATTCTTCAAGAAATTTTAATATTTTAGGTCCAACTACGTTCTACTTCTGTATTTTGCGACTTGAAATTACAAAGTTTCAAATTGTGTAAAAATTTATGTACCTTACAATTCAAAAATTTCAAGGCCATTATTCAAGATTATTACAAAAATGATGAATTATTATTAAAAATTAGATTCCCTTAAAAAATTTCTGCATTCTGGCTATCCGGAATGTATTCTAAGTTGATACTCCTAAATTGTTTTTTTCATACGAATAATATCGTATCCTCAGAAAGACGATAGTTTTGAGTAATATAAATGGAAAAAAAAGCTGAATTTTTAATTTTTTTTCTCGAGAATTTTTGGTATTTTATGTCCGATTAATTTCTACTTTTGAATTTTGCCGTATGGAATTACATAGTTTCAAATAGTGTAAAAAATTTGTATATCTCATGATTCAAAAATTTCGCGGCTATTATTAAAGATAATAAAAATAATAAATTATTATTAAAAATTAGGTTCCTTCAAAAACTTTTTGAGCTATGGCGAAATACGCAAAAACTGAAACAATAACATTGATGGACTCATAACTTCCGAACGTTCTTATAACTGCCGTATTGGGACAGTATTTTCCAAATTGCAGAATTCAGCAAAAAAAGTTAAGTATATTCAGAGAAATTAATTTTTGCGTCTGATTTTATGCTAAATATTTCAGATTTCAAATTTTAGTTGTTCATAAAGTTTAGTTATTCATATTTAGTTCATATTTCATAATTCAAATTGCAGTTAGGCTCTCACTGCAACATGCAACATTGATTTCGACTCACCTTGCACGGATTTACCAATCGAGTACAGCTTCGTAAGTTCAGGATGTTCTCGGTTAAATCTTCGAAGTATGGCAGTCATTTGAGGATAGTCATGGTAAGCAAAATCCACATCTAGAGCACTTGAAAAAGGAACAATCAAGCAGACAGCGGAAATCACCAAAAATAAGTTAGACAGGAGAAAGTGGCCCATGATGTTGAATACCTGGAAGTAATAAGCAATATTTAGTTACAGGCCTGTTACATCTACTTTTAAAGATAGTATTCAGTTTTGGTGACATTACAGAATAAGACATGAATTGTTTTTATAATTTTTTTTCACATTAAAATAAATTAAAAACAAATCTCGATTCAATGCAATCATTTATTTTTAAAACTAGATTCATAAACATGGATTAGCAACACACTATTCATCAACATTTGTCTCACAGACCGCGCTAAATACGTGAACACTTTTCACTTTTAAAGTGGAACTTGAACTTCTGTATACCTTTCTAGGAGCAAATGATAGAGCGCTTGTCTTCCAATGAGGTGAAATGGGTTTGGATCCCAGAGATCACTGATCAATACGAATTCCGCGTCCGACTTGCGCCGACCACAGTGCAGACGTAAAATATCCTCAGTGGTAATGAGTTAGAATTCCTTTGGTGTGGGTGGCTTTCGGGGTTTTTCTCTCCATGCAACTCAAATGCTGTTTAGTTCTATAAAAAAAATCCTCCATGAAAGCTAGTTTATTACAATGCTTGATGCAGGAGTTCCGTGGCTTTTTGGGTTGGGCTCAAAATCACAAGGATACTGAGTTGAGCATGGATGGTCGTANAAATTAAAAACAAATTTCGATTCAATGCAATTATTTATTTTTAAAACTAGATTCATAAACATAAATTAGCAATACACTGTTCATAAACATTTGTCTTACAGACAGCGCTAAATACGTGAACACTTTACACTTTTAAAGTGGAACTTGAACTTCTGTATACCTTCCTAGGAGCAGTGATGGTTCAGGGGATAGAGCGCTTGTCTTCCAATGAGGTGAAATGGGTTTAAATACCAGAGATCACTGGGCAATACGAATTCCGTTGCGCAGACTACAGTGCAGACGTAAAATATCATCAATGATAGATGGATCATGAGTTAGAGGCCCCTTGCCGTCAAGCTAACAGTAGAATGTTTTCCTCTCCATGTAACGCAAATACGGGTTGGTTCTATCCTTGGCGAATCCCACCAAGGCAAATTTCTCCAAATACTTGATACAGCAGTTCCCTTATCTTCTGGATTGGGTTCAAAATTATAAGCCTGCGAAGTTGAGCGTTGGTAGCCGTCAAAATTTAGGTCGGCTGTTCAACAACTGTTGTAAAATAAAATAGCTTCCTAAATCGTTAGACGAATGTTTATGAATAGTGTATAGCCCATGCACGTTTCTGAATCTAGCAAAAAGAGTCATTATGGAATATTACGGATTATAGCTTTAAGGAGTTCAAAGGCTGTCGATGAGGTTGTCAACACAAGGTATTTAAAGTTCAACTATAGTTTAATACAACTGTCAGCTTAAATGCAATTGATAGTTCGCAAGATCGTTTTAAACGACTCTATCGTCATAGGCGAATAGTAACCCACAGCTTAATTGATGGTGTTGTCAAAATGCCATTTTTTTCGCGAAAATATAAAATAAATATTTTTTGAAAAATAATTCAACAAATAGGTAGATGCACAGTATTAAATTAGATATAAAAAATGAGTAATGGCACAGTTTTAATGTTTTAAACTTTTAGAAAAAAAGAAATTATTAAAAATCTGAACGGGTTTTTTTTATTATTTATTTTTAATGAGGTCTTGCCGATGAGCAGACCTAGTGTGTTCTCCAGAGGTGGTATCCACTCTTTCAGGACCACCACAATGGGTGAGATATCGTTGGTCATGTTAATTTGGACGTATAGTTTCTGCCACACTAGATGGCAGCACCGAGACTCTATTTGGATGCTAAAGTGCACCAGGAATTTAATTTTGCCGGAAATGCCAAGAGCCAATAAGGCACTCCAGGGATCTTTTACATGCCGCATAATCATACGACATGACTGCTGAGGATTTTTTGCATCCCGAAAAATCCAATGTCTGGGCCGAGGATTGAACCCGCAGACTTGAGCTCAGAAGGCCGAAGACAAACCAACTTAGCCACCCAGCCACACTAAAAGTTTCCAGGAAAGTTACCAGCGAATCTGAAAGTTACCAGGCACATATGTTTCAAATCTATAAAAAAACTAGGTCTCAATTAACCAATTTTTTTTAAGTATTATGCAATGGAATGATTCTCTATCATCATAAGTATCCTAACATAAGCAGAAAGCTAAAATTTCCCCTACTACAATTTCCAAAGCAAATTTTATCTTTCAAATAAGTTAAAATATTTTCAGAAGTTAAAACTTTCTGAAGAATACAAACAGTTTTTTTATTATTCAAATAAGGCTATCATGAGAACATATACATGGCCAGTATTTTCATTACACACCTTGCATTCGCTTTGATGCAAATGGGACACCGGTGTCCTATATATGCATTTTTTTCCGACCCTCCAATCACAAGCAAAAATTTATTTTGGTATTTTTATTCATGAAAAACAGTCTATTAGTTACAAAAGAATTGCCACATTATCGGAATTATATTTATTCTGAAATATAAAATCCAAAAAAATGAGTTTGAATAAAAAATTCATTCATATTCAAAATTATATCAGTAATTGATTTTGTAAATTAAAGAAAGTTTCAATGAACAGTTTTTTCTCTTAGATCTATACAACTGCAAATAAGTATAAATTTAGAAAATTTCCGCTTGGAAGAGAGCCGTGTTTAGGAAAATTTTACCATTGCCGCGGAAAAAGACAACTGTGTTTAATTTATATTTAACAATCATAAATTATTAAAATGCTAATCATAACATTCTTAAAAAATACTGTATTTAGCATTATTATTTATATCAATATATATATTTCTCTTACACGGCGACAAAAAAAAAGTCTCATTACAACTCCCCGAATGGCAACGCTAGAAAATCGACCAATGATTGCCGCTAAAAATGTCACATGCCAAATCCAGCTGAGGTGGCTCAACATATAGCGCTTTCAAAAACGGAAACTGAAATAACTTTTAGCTAGGCAGAAGTGAGTAGTCTTTGTCGATAGATCTCTATTTTAGTATTTTGTCGAAAGCGCTTTTTTTCACGAATTTATGACGAATTTATTTGACGATTTTTGATTTATATCATGAATTTATTTGTTTTATTATTGGTATTAGTTATTCAGTGAAAAATAAGTCTCAGTCGTGCTGTTACGCTTTAAGATTTTATACTATAGCATATTTCTAATAGATTTAACGAATTACATGGCATTTATTTGAATTCAAATTTATTTTAATGACTTGTATTTACTAAAAAGATGTATTTTTTTTTTTTTAATTTTGTTATATGGATTTGAATGATTGTTTTGAATTCTTAGAATTTTGTGTATTTGCAATGTACCTAAGTTAGTAGCTAGTGAAGCGAGCTTGGTTTGCGAAGCAAACCATTTAAGATTGGGGGGCGCTGCCCACTAGTACATTATGTTATTATATTTAGCATCAAAATGCTAAATATAGGTTTCTCCGAATAAAAAACAATTTGCTCTGAGTATTCTCTATAACAATGTATTCAGTATCTGCATGTGAATCAAGGTGAATGAGATCTAAATTTTGAAATAACGAATTCGTTAATTCGAAAAATAAATGGGAAATAATTTCGATGAACAGTCATTTTTTGTTCCTTTCTTCAACAATTTTATAAAGCAATGGCTTGTGAAACAATAACATGAATTAAATTAAGATGAGAAAAAAAAAGACAAAAAGGATATTATTCTAGTTTGAAATGAAGGCGAAACTTCATCCGTCAAAGTTCAACAGCACAAGGGGCCTTTAAAGCCCAACCCAAGCTCCAAAAACAATAACCTAAAGAAGAAACATCAGGAAATGTAGGCAATCAGGTCATCCTATCCACCTTGAAGGTCAAAGAAATTTTTTAACAAATCGAATAAAATAAATTAAAGAAAGAACAATTTTTTCCTTGTTCCCGAATAAAACAGTTCACGTGTAAATATTTTAAGGTTGAATGGGATGGGTACAATAATATAAAATGGTGGGAAAAACCATAAAACTTGCATGCAGGATCTCATTGTTGCCAATTCCGGCTCAGAATTTTTAGTAGAACGATCATTATAGATGAGAAATAAAATGTTTCGCCAACCTGGTGCATTTGAAAAAGTTTTTTTATGAACACCACTTTTAGCGTGTTTTATTTCGTCTACATGTACCGTGCATAAACACATCATTGTGATCTGTTCTATAAGTTAAAAAATACAAAGCATTCGTTGTGTCCCTCTACACAATCAATGTTTGCGCACAATAACTACAAATGTGCAGGGTTCAAAATAAGATCTATCATTTATTTAGCAGGCATGTACCAGCAAACATTTTTTTTTTCTTGTAATGGTATTTTGTCTCGATACAGTTTTTTAAAATTTAAAATTTCGTTGTTAAATTTGAAGATATTTTAATCATTATAAAATATTTTCCTTGAGTCAAAATTTACCATTTTAAGTTTCATAAGAAAGAATAATAGAAATAGGTTTGAAGTGCATAAAATTTAGCTGTTCTGCCAATTATTTGAGCCATTTTTTTTTTATTATTTCCAGTTATAATGAATAAAAATGCCTCCTCTCCATATTTATGAGAACTAAAATGTGGAAATGGCTCAAGAACCGACCGATTTGATTCATTTCTAAATTCGATTTAGTGCTATATTTTATAATTTGCAATAAATTACAAAATTGGCTTATCAAAGTTCAGTTCACGTATAAATAAATTTACGTAAACCAAATACATTTTTGTTTACGTCTTTACTGTTTGTAATAAGAAAAAAATACAGTTTTCTATCGAGAAAAAGTTTTAATATTTTTTTTAATGAACATTGAAATTTACGAAATTCATCTTAGCTGTTGATGAAAGGCTTTCATTAGCTGGAATACTAACAGGGTCCCTTCGGTACCAAATAAGAACGAAGGGACCCGTTGGCAAAGCCGTTGGGTCCCTTCGTTCATTACGTTCATTCGTTCATTTCGTTCATTCCCATTAGTCATAACGTTCAATGACTAACGTACGTTGTATTGAAAATTAAATTACATAA